GAGATACTTTTAGAGCTGTATTGTCTTACCACAGGGGAACAAAACAACCTGCACATAACCAGCACTCCCTCACATCTCCTGGTAACAAATACTGGGGATGGGCTATTTTCACACAGTCTCCTGAAATAGGTGGTGTTAGAATAACTGCAGAAGCCTTACAGACTCAAGCTGTGTCTGTATCATTTCAGATCCTTTTTAAATGTGTGCTTTTCTTGATGTTTTTCTAGATGATTTAGAAAGCACAGTGCACAGGGATGGATCTTTCTCCCCCTTATTATGTACCTGCTCTGCAGAGGGTCACAATCTAGCCCACCATGCCTGTAATTTTATATGTCTGTGTGTATATGTGTATTCAATTTATAATTCTTATCAATGTTTAAATCTGCACTGGCAGAGACAGCACGTGCTGTGGATATTCCTGCTGCAATTTTTTTAAAGAAAACAACTGATTGGAAAGTTTTCATTCCTAACAGGATTTGCAAATGGTCGGTGCTCACAGGACAGCATTGAGGGGGGAGGCACATCTGGCAGCTGTGACCCAGCAAGCACTGCCACTTGCTGACCTACTCATGCATTGGGGAATAATAAGATTTGGAAGGGGGTTTTGAGGAATATTCTGGGCTGTTGGAGGGCTCTGTGGTGGGAAAGGTAAGGCTGGTGGTCATAGGTGTGTTGGGAACTGCATGCAGGCTGGGGCAGGTTAGGTATCAGATACAAACATTCCCAATGTCCGTACAGATGGGGTGGTTCAAGCTGTCAAAGCTTGTGAGACCAGAACAGGCATAAAATACGCTATAGATGAAAGGCCTGCAAGCTTTACCTCCCTGAGTCTTCTGCTGAGCCCAACAGCATGTGTATAATTTGCTTTAATGGTTAGAAACATCTGCTGTTAAAAGTGATGCTTAATATATTTGGCTTCCACTTCCAGTCATTAGTTCTTTTTATGCCTTTTTGTGCCTAATTAACAACCTTTTAGTACCTGATATTGTTTCCACTGAATGTGCTGCTATATCGTAATCAAGTCACTTCTTAATCTTCTCTTTGATAAACTAAAAAGATCAACCTCTTCAATTCTCTCATTTCAGACATTTTCTGCATCCCTAGAATCACTCTTACAGATCCGGCCTGTGTTTTACTAATCTCCTTAAAATGTCGGTGTGGAACCATGGAGGGCTCTGGAAGGAGTCCCTTGGTGCTGGAAGAGGAGGCTGAGCCACCTCCTCACTCCTGCTTCCAGCTCCAGGCTTCCTGCATGGATTAAGCACAGGTTTGCTAGGCAGTAGAGACTCATCTTCATCGATAGTTAAGATATGAGTGGCTGGAACAAGATGATCTTTAAAGTTCCTTCCAACCAAAACCATTCTGATTCTGTGGTTTTACCAAAACCCACTGTGTGTGAGTGGTGCTGCCCGTAGTGAGATGATGATACCTTGGCAGTGGTAAATTCTTGTTGCCCCCAGCTCAGCCAGGTAACCAGTCTGCTTTTTATTTTTGTCAGCATGTCACACAATACTAGGTCAAAACACCTTTTGGACATCAAGGATATTGCTTCTGTGCATTACTAATATCAGATGTGCAGAGAATAAAATCAGGTTTGCTTTGCTGTGACCTATTTTTCCTAAACCCATGTTGATGGATGTATTTGCGTGTCCTTCAGTTCTCTGCACTGTTTTTCTGCCTTGGACAGATGTCTGTCTGCCTGTCCCCTGCAGACCATACCTTTGCCTTCTTCAAGCAGAAGACTCTTCCAGCCTCCTAAAATTTCCTCTTAAAAATGAACATCAGCACGCAGCAGTTTTCTTAGTTCTCTTAGAGCTCTTGGATGCAAAATTATTCAGTTCTGCCAAATTTAAATATCTTCTGGTGCTGGTAGATGTTGTTGAATGTTCTTCTCAATTGCTAATAGGATGGAAACGCTTCATCCTCATAACGAGTGTAATCCTTCTTGTTCCCAAATGTTCCAGGACAGTGATTACAGCCTGTCCATCATATCTGTCTCATTAGCATCACTTCCATCTCCACCCAGTGATGGACCCCCATCCTTTCTAGGAAGAGTCTGGGTGTAAATCTTTACTAATCCAACCCCTGAAACTTCTGATTTGGTGAAGAACTGGGCAAACAGGACACAGAAATAGATGGAATGGGATTATATCATTATTTGCATCACCATCCTCTAAATGCTTCTCTTCTAGTTTGCAGATTCATCATGCAGGGGGAAGATGCCCAGAAAACAGCAGAGAGAAATAGGGGAAAAGAATATGAAAATAATGATTTTTTTCTACTATTTCTTTATCACCCAGGCTTTTCCCTTCTCCTTTCTCCTCCTTGGGGGAAGGATCTTTGGCAAGACAACTCAGCCCTTCCTCTTTGCTATCTTCCCTGCAGCATCCTTTAAGTTGTCTTTGATCTGTGTAACCCACAGGGTGTGTCATCAGTTGCATCAGTGGAGGCCGGCCAGGCAATTTGTGATAATCCCAACTCAATTTACATTTCAAATGCTTGCTCTGGGAGCTCATGCCCCACTGTATTTCCTGCAGCTTTCTCCTGCTCCCCAGGACAGATGTTCCTCAGCAGTTCCTCACCAAGTCACCAAGGGCAATTGGATGCTCCTATCCCATCTAAAACACCCTCTGGCTTTTTCCTATCTGTGTGGTAGGTTCATTGTGAAAAGTGAGAAAGTTACAATGATCCCATTGTTCTTCAGCCCTGAGCTGAGGGAGGTCCTGGTGGGCTTGTCCATGAGCCATACACAGCTCCTGTGGCCCCAGGCACAGTGCCTCCCACTGCCCTGGTTTTCCTGGAGAAACTTTGGCCAAGGGCAGAGTGGGGGACTCTGTGTGGCACAGGGAGGGAGTGGATCTCCTCTTCCCCCACTTTCCACCTCACTAAGGGTCTTAAAGTGCGGGTAAGGAGATTATGTGGAGAGGGAAGATTTGAATTTCTTGCATCCTGGGAACAAGAACCTGAATAGAAAGGATTGGCTCTCCCTTAATTTGAGCTGATGGGGATGGTGGGCAAAGCTGATGGGATTTTGGTAGACACTCTCTTGAAATAGAACTGTGGGAAAAAATTCCAGGGGGTGTGAAAGCAAAAATAACGCAAGAAATTCTGGATGTCAGAAGAGAGACAGCAAGACCCTAAGAAATTATAAAAACTAAAGTACTATTTTCAGGAACTAAATATAATGTGGCTCCTTTGGAACAGCTTGGAGAAACGACAATGTAGCACAAAATTGCTGGGGAAAATTGAGGCTGTTTTCCCTCGGCTCCAAGTGAAGGACTCGAGCGGAGGCTGGTGTAGAGAGTGGCGTGGGAGCTCAGCAAGTACAGGGAAGTCTGGGAAAAGCACAGAGCTGATGTGCAGCCAGGCTTGTAAGGTGATGGGGAGAGTTTTGCTGGAGGCAGTGCCAAGCCTTGGCACCTGGCGTGTGCTGGGCGGAGAGGGGAAGGGCTGCGGTGGGCAGGTGGAGCTTGCATCCACCCCCCATGAATTTGAACCATCTTTCCTAGCTGATCTGAATTTCCTCTGTTTTTAAAACTTCATTATTTGAAGGCTGGCCTTTATGAGAACCCCTCTGGGGAGGGGACTTGTCAGGAGGAGTTTAGGGCTTATCTGCCTCACCTCTCGAGGACTTGTCATCATATCCCATCATGAGACCTACAGTGACACCCTACATCTCCGCAGGCAGCTCCTGCGAGCATAAAAAGGTTGAAATGTGCCTGTTTGTGTCGTTGGAGTGTAGGGGGAAAAGTCCTGGGGCCAGGTTATGAATCACCCATGCCTCCAACTGCAGGACCAAAAGGCCAAGCAGACCTGGAGCTGCGGGACTGGGCAAGGTGATTAATGTCTCTGCAGCAGGGATTAAGCTGAGCCTTAGAGGTGATCCGTAACACTGGAATGAAGAGATGGCTTCCAAAATGAAAGACAGGAAAATCCACACCTCGTGCAGTGGGTGCAGGCCTGTGGGATGTGCAGTCCCCAGATAGCACAAGGGCCAGGTTGGGTGCTGCTCCTGCCGAGCTCTGCATCTGCTTGTCCTGGGTGCTGCTCTGGTTTTTGGGAATGTTGTGGACCTTTTTACCACCTTAGTTAATTGTCTTGGAGAAGTCTTTTGGAAGCAGACCTGGCTGTCCTGCTGACTGTGCTGTATATTAATACTTGTGTAGCTGCTGAGCATCCTGGTGATTCCTCATACGGAAAGGCTCTACAACCTCTTTAATTAACTTAATTTAGACATTAGTGTGTCACAGGGAACATCTCTCATGGGGAAAGTCTTTCGTTTATCACCACTTAGCCAGGGAACTGTTCTATTTTTCATTTGCATGCAAAAGTTCATCATGGTGAGAGGGAAAATTAACCCTTTGCTCTCCAGGGAAAATTAACCCTTTGCTCTCCAGGCTGCACTTCCCTTCCTGGAAGTGCAGATGCATTGTGCAAGGAGCAGCACTCTTTGCACTCCCCTATAGCATTCCAGAGCCAAATTTTGAGAGGGAGTATCACAACCACTGCACTGATTCCAGAAAATCCATCTCTGCTAGCCCCAGGGAAGCGCTGAGCATGGCACAGTGGTGTTTCCTCATTTGGCCTTGGCTATTCTCTTTGGTATCTCTGGTCACCAAGCAGGAGGGAGAAAATGGGCTTTGGGGAGTTGGTGGAGCTATGAGCCCTCGGAAAGGCCCCTCTTCCCCCAGGAGAGGCAGAGCCTCATGGCAAGCAGTCAGTTCGCAGCAGAAGCCTTGGAAGCAGACCAAGGCTAATTAAAGCTGGCGTTCACGCCGGCATGCTGTGCCGTGGGTACCTGTGACAGATGGGGGCTGCTTGCCCTGACTGCAAGGTACTGCCAGTGAAGAACATGGTACAAAATGTTTTTCAGGGGCTGATGACTGGTTTCTGTGGCTATGTGGGGTCTGTTTGGGGAGAGGTAAGGGTGTGCTGGGGCTACCTGCAGGCAACTGTACCTACCCATCACTCACTGCCCATGTCCTCTCCTTGTCTCCCAGGTGAAGGAATGGCTGTGCTTGAACTGCCAGATGCAGCGGGCGCTGGGGATGGACATGACCACCGCTCCTCGCTCCAAGAGCCAGCAGCAGCTGCACTCCCCTTCGCCGTCCCCCTCCCAGTCCCCAGCCAAGCACCCGCAACCCCCAGCTGCAGATAAGACCCCGCCAGCCCCCCGCCCCCAGCCACAAGAGCAACCCAAACCTCAGCCCACAACGCCACAGAGGGAACCGCACGGCCAAGGACAGCCAAAACCTCAGGAGGCGGCCAGGTCCTCCCCGCAGCATCAGGCCAGGTCCTCCCCGCAGCATCAGCAAGCCAAGCCTTCCCCCTCTGAGCAGAGAAAGACGCCAGGAGATGCAGGGGCAAAGCCTGCTGCCCCGGCCGCCGGGGCTGGAGCAGCAGAGCAGCCCCAGGAGGGGCTCACAGGGAAGCTCTTCGGCTTCGGGGCATCCCTCCTGACCCAGGCCAGCACGCTCATGTCTGTCCAGCCAGAGGCCCCTGCTCCGAGCCAGCCGTCTCCTGGCAAAGTGCCTCCAAAAATTGTCTTCAGCGACGCCAGCAAAGAGGCTGGGCCCAAAGCCCCAGGGGCACAGGGCCGGGCTGGTGCCGCAGCGGCGGCGAAGCCGGGCAAGCCGGAGCAGGGTGTCAAGCCAAAGGAAGTGCCGAAAGCAAGGGTCTCGTGCCCCCTCTGCAAGGCAGAGATCAACGTGGGCTCCAGTGAGCCCCCCAACTACAACACCTGCACTACCTGCCGGCAGCAGGTCTGCAACATGTGCGGCTTCAACCCCACGCCTCACCTCGTGGAGGTAAGGGGGCTGGCGGGGCGGGTGTCTTCTGATCCAAGGGTGTGTGCTCTCTCCTTGCTTAAAATGGAGAAAAGATGGGGTGCTTGCTTTCAAAAGTCTATAAAAAAGCCTTTAAGAAGCTGCTGAAGCCAGTTTCCTCCTGGGGCAAGCTGCAGGGCTGGAGTTTATGGTCCTTCACCTCTTGGCAAAGACATGGATTTCATGTGTGTACACTGATTTCATGCAAGGAACAGAACAAGGCATGGCTGTTGTTAAGGGCACCCCCAGCAGTGCCCACTGCTCCCCAAAGGTGTCCAAGGGTGAGGTCATGCAAGTACCAGTCACCAACTAGCGTCCTCCTCCTTTTGGAGGCTGTGGATGGAGGCCTTGGCCAGACTGGAGATGAGGCTAATGAGGGATGTTCTGCAGCTCCTGCATTCTCATATGGTGAGGCTGCAAGGAAGATGATACAGGGGAAGAAGGTGTCAGGGACTCAGCAAGAGGAGCCTGGGTGCAGGACAGTGGAATGGGCTGTGCATAGGGTGGATGTGGGCATGCCCAGTGTTGTATGATGTGAATTGGATGGTGAATTCTGCAGCTTGCTGAGATGGAGTGCAAGGAGAGGAGAACGGAGGCTGAGATGGTCTGAAATCCACCCAATCTTACCTGTTATAGTTGAGAATGTCTCTGAATTGTTATGTCCACATAGATCATCTTCCCAAGCACCAAAGAATTACCTTAGCTAATTCTAGCCACTGGTGCCTAGAGAGGAGAGTGGTGCAACTGGTTCAGCTGGAGCATCCCCCTACCCCTTCCACCTTGAATGCTAGGGAGGGACATCTTCCAGGCACTTCATGCCATCCTGGACAAGTGATTTGAGACCCTGACCAGTGGAGGCCCAGGGCTTGCTCCTGGAAGTGCTGCATCTCAGAGACAGTTAAGACACAGAATTGATAACATCAGCATATGGAGAAGTAAATGGGAACTTGAAATGACCAGAAGTAGGATTGCTAATCTTGGATCCATTCCATGGCAGATAATTACATTTTATGTCCCTAGCTCCTCCCTGCAGTTTCAATTATACCCAGTAATTTTCTGTTCTTCCTGAAGCTGCTGCTGCTGCTCTGCTCATGGTCACATTGGCAGTGGAGGAGATGCCTTCCCAGCGTCTGTGGAGGTGCAAACCCCCCAAATGGCCATCTCAGTGTACACGGAGCTGTTTTCAGTGCCAGTGCTCTGCTCCTGCTGTTGCTCCCCCACTGCCTCCACCCTGCCCCGGGGGCTTGAGTGAGGAAAGCTGTCCAAGTGTTTGTTCTTTGGGTAGGGCTGAACCCCGTGTTGGCATGCCCCTAGGCAGCAATGTGTTCCCAGGCTTCAGAAAGCCCATGGATTGGTGAAAAGGCTTCAATGCTCGCTGGCACCCGGCTGCTAATTAATTAATTAGAGAATTAATTTGGGGTTGGGTTGTAGCCAGTAACATGGTGATCTCTGCATGTACCAGGGAAAGGTGAGCTCTCCTCAGCCCTTGTCTCCAGGGTCACTAGCTGACACCTGGGATTAAATTTCAGATTTTGAAGGCTGGACTCTGCCCAGGTTCCCAGAGTTCTTGAGCAAATGCCTTTGGACACCCTTGGGTAAACCCACCCTGGCATGTATGCTCCTCTTAGTGTTTCTTTCTGCAGCTCATCCCTGCAACATCTCGGAGCCTTCATACAGAGTGAAGACCCACAGCAAGGTCTTACCCAGGCGTTGTGCTGTCATGGCTTTTGTTTCCCCTTACACTGAACCTTTGTCCAGCTCTGCATGGTTGGGTTGGTTTATGAGATTTATAAGAGTTGAGAAAGAAGTGCAACACTTGTGCTGTAGATGTTTTTAACAAAAACTTTCTGAGGAAAAGAAAGCATTGCAAGGTCTGTTAATGTGGTTGGGCTTTAGGTTTGCTTGATCTTCTGGGAAAATTGCTCTGTGGTCTGATCTCTTTTTGCCTGCAGCTCACATGGGCTTGTCCCAAGCCCTGAGGTTCATGCAAATACCAGAACTCAGTCTTTGAAGTAGTGAGGCTTGATCCATTAATTGCTTGATGAATTAGGACCTTGGCTATAAGTTGCCCTTGGAAGCTGTGTGAAAACTAATGAGGGATTTGATCCCAAGTCTGGTAAGTGCAGAGGAGCACGAACTGTGGGTGAGATTGGCAGCATGCTCTGTATGCACTCCTGGAGCCTGGGCAAGGCTTCACCCTGGGCCCAAAAAGCACCAGGGAGGGAGAGGGCATGGCCCACAGTGACCTGGTTTACTGGAAGAAGGGTAAAACAGTGCTAAAACAATGTGTTTCCTGCAAATAAAGTTGTATTGTCACTTCCAGAAAGCAGGGAAGGCTGTTGCCCCTGTTTGCAGCCCCCTATAACTTCTGATTTCCCTGGAAAGATGTGTTATTATACCCATGGTATTTTCATTCCCATCCCACTCCTGATCTAAAGATGGAGTCGGAGGCTCTGTGTCCCTGCCGTCCCCTCCCACCCTGTGCAGCTGCCTGGGGAGGTATCCAAGGAGCTGCCTCCTCCCCAGCACTCTGCTCAGCCAAGTGCACTCAAACCTACCAAAAGAGAAGAAAATACTAAAAGTGCTGGTTTTCTGTGCACTCACTGGCTGAGCTGCATAGGTGCTGAGCCACCCAAAGAAAAGGGTAACTTGTACTTCTCTTATTGTCCTTGCTCCACTGTAGACTGATGCTTATGCAGGTGAAGGATGCTCCGAGAGTATCCCACTCACGAGAAGCTGGGTCGTGCCTCTGAGCCCAGAGTTTCCAGAAGATCTGCCACCAAGGCTGGCTTTCCTCTGCCTTTGTGTCTTGGTGGGAATGACCAGAAGGTGCTGGTGAGAACTGGAAGCCTAGGGCATGTGAAGAGTTTAGGGATAAGGGTGGCATTTTGGCAGTACATCCCAGGAGAAGCGTGTGGACTGTGGTGGCCCATGGCTCTGGAAGCTGTGGGTGACCAGCAGAGGAATCCCAAAAGCGTGCCTGACTTCCACTTCCTCTGCATGCTTGCCATAATACATATTACCCAGCTTTAAATAAGTTGTTTATGTGAAATACCAGGAGTACAGGTGCCTGGAGCTTCCTCCCACCTCCTCACACCTCCTCCAGGAGCTGCATCCTGGGAGCAGTACTATGAGATGTTCTCAAGCCAGAGATGACACTTTGGGACTCTCCCAAATTCCCTACAGCGTCAGCTCAATGCCATGCAGGAAGGGAAGAGGTTTCTGTTGCAGGAAGACCAAGTGCTGGGTCATTTTGGTGGGGATGTAGGAAATTTCTCCTGTTTATGGCAGAGTCTGCTGAGGGAACAAGTGATCTGGCAAGAGCTGGCTTGCAGCGTGATTTGCCTTGTGCTTGCATGATGTTCTCCCAGTAACCCCAGTTGACCCCAATTGACTCCAGGGGTTTTGTATTAAGGAACAAATGAACTATGCATGTTGTGGTACTAAATAAACATGGCAGGATGCCCCTTTGCCTAATTAACCAGCCTGAAACAGGAGCAGTGACGAGTTTCACTGCAGAACACTGCTGATTCCCAGGTGCCAGGCTGTGACCTCCAATGGGCACCTGACCCTCAGGAGGGTCCTCTTAATGATTTGCTGTGCCCCATCCAGATGCTAAAACTGATTTTTTCCCCTTGATTTCCCCATGCATTGTAAAAACAACCCTTTTTTTCAATAACACTTGGTTATTGTGTTGTCATAGGTGGTGCTGCTGCATTGCCCTGTCTGATCTCCCCAGTTGATGCTCTTGGGCTCTTTATTACGTGCATTATATGCATATATAATATAGTGTATGCCTATCATATGTTGGTGAGACACAGGAACAGGTTTCCCAGGGAAGCTGTGGACTTCCCATCCCTGGAAGTGCTCAAGGCCAGGTTGGACGGGGCTTTGAGTAACCTGGTCCAGTGGATGGTGTCCCTGCACATGGTAGAGGGGTGGAATAAGATGAGCTTTAAGGTCCTTTAAATATAGGATTCTGTGATTATCCTGGATGTGGTATCACAGGATGCAGGAGCAGCGTTTGCTTGAGCCCTTCATGGGACATGTTCCCCTTCTGCTGCTCCCCTTGTACCTGAAGCCAGGTACAAACCAGCCCGTTCAGATGGATTTCTGGCAAGGAGCTTGTGATCACTGTATCAAATACTGTCTGGAAAGCCCCAGACCTCTCTTTTCATCACAATCCAAGAGCTCCTGCTGCACAAAATTGGTCTCTGAGCAGAACAGCTCCCCGGGGTGGGCTGCTGCACTGCTCAGGCTCGAGATGCTGATGCTGAGGATGGGCTGACCTGCCCTACTTGCAGAATCAGCCGCGGCAGCTCCTGTGCTCGGCTGCAGAGAGGAATGCCTGGGAAAGCGGACTTCAGGGAGAGGGGAAAAGCTCCGTGAGATCAGCCTTTGTGCAGAACAGGGTGTCACTGCCGGCAGCCGGAGGATGGGTTAGAGGAGGAGAGCCGAGGAAAGGTTTTGTGCCAAAATTATTTCAGTGTCGGCACATAGGTTTCAGAGAAGAGCTTAAAAAGGGAGCAGGGAGGAGCGGCGGGCTCCTGCCTCACCTGCCCCCGCTGAGGGGGAGCGGCAGCCAGCAGCCTGCGTTCGGCTCCCGATTGTGCCTCCCTGCCCCCTTCCCAAGGGTCCTGCTCTGGCTGGGAATGTAATTAGCTCCTAAGCAAAGAGGATTAGCGGGGTTAAGAGAGCCTCCAGCTCAGCACTGTCCTGGGGGGGAAATTCCAGCTCCGGTCTGGCGTCTGGGGCCATTCCCCCCTCCTTCCAAGGCAGACAAGCAGGATATATGTGCCTTAAGGAGAACCTCCTGCCCTCTGGAGCACAGGTGCCTGTGCTGGGGATCCAGCAGCTCTCCATCTCAGAGAGCCCTATGTCCTTCATGGGATGATCAGAAATGCTTCCCAAAGAGCCGCCTGCCTTCGTAGGGTGACAGGGAGGGTGGGTGATGAGCAGGGACAGGGGCTTGAAGTTTTCAGGCATCATTTTTCCATAGGAATCCAGATCCTGTTATTGTCCTGTTGCTCCTACCAGGCTCAGAGGGCAGCAGGGACATGTTCTGCAGCTCCTGATGGAGCAGGGAACAGCTGTTGTCAGTCACCCTTTTGAGGCTGTTTTCCCTAAGTCGAGTGTCCTGCAATGACAGCTTGGCAGTGTCCCTGGAGCTCAGATGGGCGCTAGGATGGCCCAGTCCCCTTTCCAGGGACAAGAGGAAGAGCAAAGTGCCACTCCTGAAAGGTGCACAGGGGGTTGGACCCTGGAGTTTTCTGCAGGAGAAAGAGGTAGCCAGAGATGCAGGGCACGGGATGC